TCTGACTGGCTACAGCTTGGCTTTTGCCTTATTTTGACATGTTTTGGCAGTTTGCAGCCTGTATTGGCTGAAAGTTTGGCTGCTGTGATTGGCTGAGGCTCCGTTACTTACTACAATAATACACTTGCAAGTTAGGTTGCAGCTTGTTTACATAGTAAGATAGGGTGCAGTTCATTACCTATGGAGGCAGCTTTAGGTCAGATTTAATTGAACAGTGGTTAGAACCTTCCCTTTTTGAAAGTTGTACCTTTTTTGTTTGGATAAGACAAACTTTAAAGCAAAGTTGATATATGACAAGTGTGATTTTACAGTACTTAAATTTAGGGAGTAGATGTGCTTTATAAATATTTTCGTTTTTCAAAATGATTCTCTCTAGGAATCTGTTAAAATTCTGGTCATAATTTCTTGGAAACCTGCGTGTGACATGAAGGAAGGTCAGCCAGTGTGCAAGTGGTTATAGGGTCTTCTCCATGTTAACTGCCTTAGTGCTTGATGCTTTGCCTACCCTTAAAGCTTCCAATAGCTCATTTTGGATTCCATTCTCTGACAAAAAGGTCAAGAAGATGCTTTCTTCAAATACCATAAGGCATATATACTGGGTTTTTGAGGTAGTACAGTCAATCCTAATTATTTTAGGTAGTACAGTCAATCCTAATTATTTTCAGATTCTGCATTTGCAAATTCATGTACATACTAACATTTTTTTGTAACCCCAAAAGCAATATTCTTGGCACTTTCTTAGTCATTCTTGGACATGTGAAGAGCAGTGAAAATTTTGAGTCACTCAGTATGTTCCCAGCTGAGGTCAAACAAGACAACGCTCTGCCTTTTTTATTTTTTATTTTTTTGAGACAGGATCTCGCTCTGTTACCCAGGCTGAGGCTGGAGTATAGTGGCACAGTCTTGGCTCACTGCAACCTCTGCCTCCCAGACTCAGGTGATCCTCCTACCTCAGCCTCCTGAGTAGCTGGGATTACAGGCGCACATTACCACACCCAGCTAATTTTGTTATTTTTTTCTTTTTTTTTGTAGAGACAGAGTCTTGCTATGTTGCCCAGGCTGATCTCAAACTCCTGGGCTCAAGTGATCCTCCCGCCTGGGCCCCCAGAAGTGCTGGTATTACAGGCATGAGCCACCGTGCCCAGTCGCGCTCTGCCTTCTTGTTTCAGCTCCTATACTGTAAACAAGTGACCAGTTTGTGGACTATGTAGTGCCATGTTTTTTTCATTTTAATGCTTTTCTGTTGGTGATTCTGCTATTTAAAATGTCCCCCAAGCATAGCGCAGACATGCAGTCAAGTGTTCCTAGGCGCAGGAAGGCTGTGATGTGCCTTATGGAGAAAATACTGTGTTAGATAAGCTTTGTTCAGGCAGGCTGTGAGTGTTGTTGGCTGGGAGTTCAATGCTGATGAATCAGCAACACATAATGTCTCTTTCAACAGAAACATGCACGAAACAAGATTATGTATTGATCGTTTGCCAAAATGTGAAGACGGGCTCACAAGATCCTAATCCTGTAGTTGCCCTGGGAGCAGTGGTTCAGGATTTGCTAATTCAGTGTTCATAGCCAACTTTATAAGCCATAACTGCTACCAACAAGCCGAACCAACTGTAGTGATGGTGGTTCTGAACTGACAGAGATCAGTGTAACATCAACAATCAAGTATCTTGTGAGTGTTTTGTGCTTATCTGGATGCTTGGCTCTGAGCTTTCGTGTGTGGTGCCTAGTTTTTCACCCAGAAACCTGCCCCTGCCAGTTTATAACTCTGCAGCTCAGAGCTCTGCCCTGGGGAGACCAGCCAGCTTGGGAAGGGGAGCCACTGGGCAAGTTAAGGAGCATTGCATTTAGCTTGTTCTGGATTTCCCTGGTTGCTGAATTTCCATCACAGGCTGCAGGACTGAAGGCTGAAGGCCCATCTCATCTATGGGGCCTCAAAGCTTCCAAGCTGTACTTCCCTCCTCACCATCCTTGCAGCTTGGACCAAAAAAGCAGCTGCAGAGGGGAGGGTGCTGGGCTGCTCTGATGCAGTGGTTACTGAGCCAGTGGAACTGGGGCTTCCATGCAAGGCAGTTCCTATGGAAGTTTTGTGTTTGCTTTGTTTGTCTGTAAGAGCTTCGTTTTGCTTTGCGTATGGACTTTTCTTCACTGCCCCAGACTAGCTGGGTAAGGTACTAGCTAGAACTACAGGTTTTTTAGGCAGAGAGGTTTAAAGACCTTCCTAAGCTCTAGGCACTCTTACTTTTCAAAACATCACCTGGGTCTTATATGTTGCAATATACCCATATCCTACATTAAATCTAACATGTATAATTATGAATAGAATCAAGTTGCTGTTGAACTGTTACATTTTATAAATATATAATTAATATTAATTTTGATTTCTTTTTTCCCACATCTCAAACATTTTCTTGGGTCCTGTGTCTCTACTGCAAGATTGCCATGTTAGTGTGTCCTTAGAAAATGGAAGAAATCAGGTTTTGTTTCCTCCCTTTAACTGCTCATTAGTTCTACAAACATTTATCGAGGGTGGGCGTGGTGGCTCACACCTGTAATCCTGTGCTTTGGGAAGCTAATGCAGGAGGATTGCTTGAGCCCAGGAGTTCAGTACCCACCTGGACAACACAGTGAGACCCTAGCTCTACGCAACATTAACAATTTTAAAAAGAACATTTATGGGGCCTCTGAGGTGTCTCATGCTACACAAGCTGTTGGGTCTACAAAAACGGACCACACAGCATTCTTTCCCTTAAGGAGCTTGTGGGCCAGACCTCTAAAACAGATGACATCAATAGGGAGTGATAGGTACTGCCGCATCCAGAGGGGCCTATGGCTCAGCCTGGGGGAGAGGAGGAGCCCAGCTCAAAGGTGTCCTGCAGAAGAGAGCCCCTGAGCTGGGTCTTGAAGGAGCCTCTGTGGGAAAGCAAAGAGGGCGAGGGGCGGAGGGATTTTGGAGAGAAGCCGGGCTGGAGAGGTGTGGTAGAGGCGTGGCAACAGCCTGGTGGGTGTGGGAAACTGAGCTGTCATTGTGGCTGCAGGGATATTTGAAAGGCAGGTTTTGATGGTGATGTATACCACTGGAGAGGCAGCGAGGGGCTTGTACCATCCTGGACAAGTTCAGACTCCTCTGGGCGTGTGACCTGCTTCTGGTGCCTCCGAATGCTGTTTGGATTTATTTGGTGTTCCTTGGTACATAGCAGGAGTATAACTAAGTTCCTAGCCCTTCCCTCCTTTCCAATACTCTCGTAAGTTTGGTATTGTTTGCTTTGTTCTGTTATCTCTTCCTTCTTAAAAAGAAATGGAAATAGCTGAGTTTTTAAAATAACTTTTTGTTGATGCATACACATATATCAGAAAAGTGCAAATATAAGTATACAGGAAATAGCTTAATTTAAAAACACATGATTGGTAAAACATCAAACAATATTAAAAAGTATATAAAACAAGTAACAGTCTCTTGGATTTCTGCCCTCAGAGATAGCCACTGTTAATGTTTTGGTAAAGGCTTTTCTGGACATCTCTCCATGCTTATGTTTACATGTAACATACTGACATTACAAACATGCGGTGATACTATACGCAGGCAGTTTTCTAATTTTTTTTTTTTTTGAGACAGGGTCTGGCTTTGTCTCCCAGGCTGCAGTGCGGTGGTGCAATCTTGGCTCATGGCAACTTCCGCCTCCCAGGCTCAAACGATCCTCCCACCTCAGCCCCCCAACTACAGGCTTATGCCACCATGACGGGCTAATTTTTGTATTTTTAGTAGAGATGGGGTTTCACCGCGTTGCCCAGGCTGGTCTCTTGAACTCCTGGACTCAAACAGTCTGCCCGCTTTGGCCTGCCGAAGTGCTGGCATTACAAGTGTGAGCCACAGCACCCAGCCCTTTAACTTCTTTTTTTTTTTTTTTAAGACAGAATTTCACTCTTGTCGTCCAGGCTGCAGTACAATGGCACAATCTTGGCTCACTGCAACCTCTGCCTCCTGGGTTTAAGTGAGTCTCCTTTCTCAGCCTCCCGAGTAGCTGGGATTAGAGGTGTGCACCACCACACCTGGCTAACTTTGTATTTTTAGTAGAGACAGGGTTTCACCATGTTGGTCAGGCTGGTCTCTAACGCCTGACCTCAGGTGATCCACCCGCCTTGGCCTCCCAAAGTGCTGGGATTAAAGGTGTGAGCCACCGCACCCAGCCTAACTTGTTTTTTTACTCACTAGTATGTCATGGCCATATTTCAAAGTTGGTATCCATATATCCATATCACCCTTTAATGACTGCAGGGCATTTTATTTTATTGCATGGCATAATTTACTTAACCGTATCTTTACTGGTGGACATTTAATTGGATTCTAATTTTGTTAACTATTAGAAACATTTCAGTGAAAGAAAATCTTTGAATGTACACTTTTGTGCACTTACAATCTTCTTGCAAAAGTTTTTATTAGGAAAAATGTCAAGCATTTACAAATGGAAAAGTATATGAGGCTTCATATATAACCAGCGTGAACAGTTAACAATGGTTTAGTACTTTTTTTTTGTTTTTGAGACAGAGTCTTGCCCTGTTGCCCAGGCTGGAGAGTAGTGGTGTGGAGCACAGTACATAGTTCACTGCAGCCTCAAACTTCTGGCTCAAGTGATCCTTCTGCCTCAGTCTCCCAAGTAGCTAGGATTATAGATGTGTGTCATTGCACTCAGCTAATTAAAAACATTTTTTGTAGAGATGAGGTCTCGATATGTTGCCCAGGCTGGTCTCGAACTCCTGCGCTTAAGTGATCCTCCTGCCTCATCAGCCTCCTAAGTGCTGGGATTACAGGCATGGGCCACCATGCTTGGTCTCTACTAATGTTTTTTTAATCTACGCTTCTATAATTGTTTTTCCTCTGCTAGGGTATTTGAAAGCAAATACAGGTCACCATTTCTCCTGTGTATTCCTCAGTCTTTTAAGATAAGGACTTAAAAACATAACCATAATATGATATACACAGAATTAACATTAATTCCTAATATCATCTAATATTATACAAATTAGGATCCATACAAAGACTAAATGTTGCATTGGTTGAGATTATCTCTTTTAAGTCTCTTTTAATATATAGCCTTCCTCTGTTCTCTTTATTTCTCATGCCATTTGTTGAAGAAATCAAGTCATTTTTCCAGTACAATTTTCCACCATCTGAACTTGGCTGATGGCCTCCTTGTGGTGTCATTTAACATGTTCTTACACACACTATCATAGCTGATAAACTGGGAATGAGATCTGGAGTCTTGATTCATTCATTAATATTGATTAGTAAGCTCAGGGGTTGTCAGCCCCCGATGTACCCATGCGAAAGTTTCCCATCAGTCTTTTACCTGATGGTTTTAACACCGCTTTATGATCATCACCTACACTCATTTCATTAGGGTTTTCAGAATGATAATTTTTAGAATCTTTTTATTTTGAGATAATTGTAGATTCACATGTAGATGTAGGAAATAATACGGAGATCCCATTTCCCCTTCATCCACTTTCCCCCATTGGCAACATCTTGCTTGAGTATAGTCCGATTTTACAGGCAGGAAATTGACATTGGTACAAACAATGGACCTCATTTAGATTTCACTAGTTTTATATGCACGTGTGTGTATATATGTGTATGCCTGCATGTGTATGCATTTAGTTCTGTGCAGTTACATTGCATGTAGATAAAAATGGGTAACACCACAGTCAAGAATCAAAACATTTCCATCACAAGGATCTCTCATTTTACCCTTTAATAGCTACAGACACCTCTTTCCCTCTCCTCCCCAACCCCTAGCAACACCCTAATGCATTCTTCATTTCGGTATTTCTGTAATTTTGTCATCACAAGAATGACATAAAAATGGAATTATACAGTATGCAACCTTTTGAGACTGCCTTTTTCCATTCAGTTTGATTCCCTTGAGATTCACCCTGATTGTTTCCTGTATCAATAATTTATTTCTTTTTATTACTGACTAGTATTTCATGATATGGATATACTGCAGTTTGTCTGATCATTCATATGTTAAAGGGCATTTGGATTGTTTCCCAGTTTTGTGGTATTACACATGGATATGCTGTACACATTCATGTACAGGTTTTTGTGTCAATGTAAGTTTTTGTTTCTCTAGCATAAATGCCCAAGAATGCAATTACTGTGTTATATAATGGGTATGCCTAGTTTTGTGAGAAATTGCCATATTCTTTTTCAGACTGGCTAGTACCATTTTACATTCCTACCAGCAATGTATGTGAATTTCTCCACCCTCACCAACATTTGGGGCTCTTGCTGTGTTTTATTTTAGCCATCCTGATAAGGTATGTAAATTGGGATTTTAAAAATTTTATTCTTTTAGTACTTTTTAGCTGTAATTCTTCTATAAAGAAGAAGCTTTTCTTCATAAGCTATTTGGTAACACTGAAATATTGTCTGTATAAGAAAGGAAGGGTAAAATGTTTGATTCCTTATTTCCACCAACCCTCACTTGGAAAGCCACTTTTCAGAAAAACAAATTAGTGCCCTGTTAGCCTCCAGAATGACTAGCTTTTTAAAAAAGTGTCATTATGAACTCATGGGTTTATAAAATAATTGACATGATTATCTTCTCAGGGTGAATTATTAGAAAAGAAATTGCCATGTCAAAGGGTAGACAAATTTAAAATTTTGATACAGACTACCCACTCACCTCCAGATAGGGTGTTTCATTTTATATTCTTGCCACTAGTTTATAAAAAATATTTGTTTCTCCATATCCTTGCCAACACTGGTTGGCTAGTTTTTAATTTTTCTTATTATACCAGTCTTATGGCAGAATTGATATCTGTTTCTCTTTCAGTTCTTTAGTTGGAAGTAAAGCTGATCTTTTCACATTATTGGCTTAAGTTTAGCCAGTTGCCTGTTAATTACTTTTATCCTTGTTTCTATTAGGATATTGGTCTCTTTTTACATTTTTATGTTGTTACAACTGTTAGTCTTTTCCTTGATGACTCCTGCGTTGTCTTTGCTTAGAGCTTTTCCTATCTTAAGATTATAAAAATATGCACCTATTTTCTTCTGGTGCCTCTTTATGATTTTACAGTTAAATATTTGTTTCATTGAGAGGTTGTTTTGTATAAGGAGTAAGATAAGAATCCATTATTACTTTTCCCCAAATCCATTATTAGTTTTCTCAATGCCATTTATTAAGGAAACTATCTTTTCCCCACTAATTTGAGATGCCACTTTCATCTTATATTAAATTTTTTATAACCTGAAATCTGAGTTCTCTGTTAGATTTCACAGATTTGCCTATTTCTGTTCCAGTATCAAAATTTATATTACTGTGGCTTGATTTTGCATTTAAAATAGTTGTTATTGGATTTTGTAAAATTATGAAAATCAAACAAGCTTTTTCCTGTATAACGGTTGCTTTATAATGTGTTTTAATAATTGGTGTCACTGGTCTCTTTTCTTTTTTGTTGTTTTATGACTTTGCTGACAAAGGTCACAGATTCTTCTAGATGGATTTTAGAATTATTTGTGTCAAGATTCCCAAACAGCCCTTTTTTATTTTGATTGGGATTTTATTCAATGCATAGGTCAATTTAGGGAGACTTGATTTCTTTACTACTTTGAACCTTTGTAGTTAAGGACATTGTCTATCATTTCATTTATTTAAATCTTTTATGTCCTTGAATATTTTTTGTTAATTTATCCCGAAGTTTATTTTTATTGGCTTCTCTGCCTTTTCATTTGAGGAATGCTTTTTAAAATTGATCACATTCACTTTTTAAAAAAAACCAGGCCAAACCTTCTGGGAAAAATGTCAGATTTTATTATCTGTAAGATTAGTCTTCTAAGCCGCCTCTTCAGTGTGTCATCCTCTCTAGGCAGACAAGCCTGCGTCCCACTGTCCTTACGGCAAATTAGATAATGGTCCTTCTGATATTGTTTTGTTACTGAGTATAAATTGAAGCACATTTTTTAGAAAAATGACAATAGTTGCCCAAAATTAGATATAACTCAGATTTTGGGGTTTTAAATGGAAAAGTTCAACTATTTAAGTACAGCATATGGGCAGGTTTTTATTAAGTGAAAATAACAAACCTGTAATTGTGAAAAACAGTTTCATGAGGAATGCAAGTGCCAGCCTGCGCAGCCTTCGCTTCATTACATCCGGGAATTTATATTTATCTGCTGCTTAGCTGTCTTTATACCCAAACCTATTTTAGTCTAAATAGAATAATGATGATAAAAGCAGCTACTACTTACTGAGATCCTCCGATGTGCGAAGAATTGTGTTTAATGTATGTTAATTTCTTAAATTAATGGAACAACTTGTTTTTTTGTTTGTTTGTTTTTTGAGACGGAGTGTCACTCTGATGCCCAGGCTGGAGTGCAGTGGTGCAATCTCAGCTCACTGCAACCTCCACCTCCCTGCCTCAGCCTCCCGAGTAGCTGGGACTATGCCTGGCTAACATGGAACAGCTTTTCAAGGATTTCTTATTTTATAACACAGCTAAGAAGCAGAGTTGATCTTTAAGTTAAATAGTTAAATCTGTCCAACTCTAAGCTCTTAGGGACACTGGGCTGCATTATAGGGCTTCCCTGTGTGTGTGTGTGTGTGTGTAGGTGTGTGCATATATGTGTGTTTGGGAGGGCTTTTTTGTTGTTTTGGGGGGTGAGAAGAGGGAGATGTGGTCATAGCTTTAGCAAACCTGTCAACACTGCTTCTGAAATACAAGAGGCTTCTATATGTCTCTTTCTCAGGAGCTATTCCTTATTGAGTACTTCAGTATATTTAAAATTTTAATTTTGTAGATGTTTGCTGAACTGCTATTATGTGATAGATTCTGGGATCAGATTTTCAGAGAAGCATTGTAAGCCAGATTTAATAAGAAATAGTGAAGTAACTAATATTGAAATTGTGAAAAGATTTGTTAAACTAATTAACCACAAAACATGCTTATAAGATTCAGAGAGACTTTCCAGGCCAAATTAATGTGACTTGCTTGTGTGTGTTACAAAATATCCCAGACGTAGTAAAAGGCATAAAGAATGATATACTTTGGGGGGCCGAGCCAGGCGGATCACCCGAGGTCAGGAGTTGGAGACCAGCCTGGCCAACATGGTGAAACCCCATCTCTACTAAAAATATAAAAATTAGCCAGGCGTGGTGGTGTGTACCTGTAGTCCCAGCTGCTCACGAGGCTGAGGCAGGAGAGTTGCTTGAACCCCGGAGAGGGAGGTTGTGATGAGCCAAGATGGCGCCACCACACTCAGCCTGGCGACAGAGTGAGACTCTGTCTCAAAACAAATAAACAAAAAGCCATATACCTAACATCTGCTTAAGATATAAAATGTTGCTAATATAATTGAAGCCCCAATTTATTACTTCTCAAGTACATAATTCTTCCTACACCTCAGGTGATTGTCTCCTTTCTTTTTTCTTTTTTTCTTTTTTTTTGAGACCAAGTCTTGCTTTGGCACCCAGGCTGGAGTGCAGTGGCACGATCTCCGATCACGGCAGCCTCCGTCTCCCGGGTTCAAGAGATTCTCCTGCCTGCCTCAGCCTCCTGAGTAGCTGGGATTTCAGGCACCCGCCACCATGCCTGGCTAATTTTTGTATTTTTATTAGAGGCTGGGTTTCACCATATTGGCCAGGATGGTCTCGAACTCCTGACTTCAAACCATCCTTCCGCCTCAGCCTCCCAAAGTGCAGGTATTACAGGGGTGAGCCACCGTGCCTGACTAATTGTCTCGTATGAAACAAAATAAAGACTATGTTTATGAACTTTGTATAAATGATAGTACGGGATGCTCTGATTCTTCTGCAACTTGCTTTTTTCCACTCATGGTAGTATTTTTGAGATTTATCCATGTTGATGCTTGTAGTTCCAATCCATTCATTTCGATTGCTTGTCATATTTCATCGTATGAGTACCCCATCCTTTTCTTATCTGTTCTGCCGTTGATGGACAGTTGTTTCCAGTTTTTGCAGTTAAAAAATGACACTGCTATTAATATTTTATGGTTCCTCCTTGTGTATATATGTGAGATTCCTTAGGGTATCTATGTATGAATGAAATTGTAGGCTCAAAAGGTATGTGTATCTTCAGTTTTACTAAAGATTGCCTAATTGTCTCCAAAAGTACTGCTCCTTTAAGTGCCTGCTGTCATCGATGAGGTTTTCATTGTTCTCTACCTTTGCCAGTAGGAGGTATTGTTAGACTTTGTAATTTATCAGTTAGACGAGTGATATGTCTCATTGTTATTTTGAATTTCCCTGACTACTAGTGAGGTCGTATAGCTTTCCTTACATTTATCAGTATTACAGGTATTTTTTTTTCTAATACTTACTCTTACTGTATATTATGGTTTAAAGTTACATGGAAAGTTGTAAGTAGCACAAAGTAGGTACTGGTACTACTAGATAGAACTACGCCCTGCTTGTATCTTTAAAACAAATGGGTTTTTGATACTTCAGAAAGTGAATGTGAGAGTTAGAGTTACATCTTTCAACACAGATAAATGAAAAGCGATGCTGAAAGGCTTGTGGAAGCTACATATAATACACCATGTTTTAAAGTTAACCATACTGTGTATCTGTGGGCACAGTACTTCAGCCTATTTGTGTTTCACTTTTTCTGTATGAGATGATCTTACCAACCTCACAGGCTGATTGGAGGTGAGTGGGCAGTTGATGATAGAATGAGTGCTAAGCACTTAGAATAGTATCTGGCATGTAAGCATTGTTGATGTATAACAGAAAGTGTTGCTGGGCTTGGTGGCTCACACCTATAATCCCAGCACTTTCAGAGGCTAAGGCAGGAGGATCACTTGAGCTCAGGAGTTGGAGACCAGCCTGGGTGACAGAGTGAGACCCTGTCTCAAACAAAACAAAACAAAGTTAAAAAATATATATAGAAAGTGTTGTTATTGCTGCACATAATTGTCTATTTTCTGTAGATTCAAATGATACGAATTAGAGTGTAAAATTATGTATTGGAATGGTGTGTGAGAGTCACTGCTCTGTCGTCCCAGGGCAGGAAATGCTGGTGGAATTGGGGAGGGTACACGGGACTTCTGATGTATTTTCTTCCTAAAAGTTGATGCAGTTGCATCAGAATGTTAAGATTTGACAGGATAGTGTAGCAGGTTCTTTTTTTTTTTAACTGTTTGCTTAAGATACTTCAAAACAAAAATATTTTTTAAGCATGGAAAAAAACATTGGCAACTGTGCAGAAATTTTTTGGAGGAAATAATCTGGGGTGGTTTTCCAATTTGTGTGTGTGTGTGTGTGTGTGTGTGTGTGTGCATGTATTAGAAAGCATGGACTTTGGAATTAAATTGATGCTTGAATCCTGACTCCATTATTTGCCAGCTTTATGATTTGGGGCAGTTGATGCAATCTCTCCAAGTCAATCTTCTCATCTTTAAAATATTATCTCACTTAATTCTCTCACTAAAGCGTGAGGCAAAATGCTTCATGGTTTGGTGAAAGAATTGAATGAATTAAATGAGATAACATTAAGACCTGGCACATGTGCCTAGTACTTAGTTTTAGGATGAAATATACATACTGAGCTTTAGTAATGTGAAAGACGGGTACACCATCATATATAATTAAATCAGCCCTGAAATCTGGCAGCATTTATGAGATTGAAATGCTGTCTGTTGATAGTTGATTCTAATATAAATGTGCTTCCATCTCAGGGCCAGCTGAGGGGCCCACTGACGTAGGGTACCCACAATAGACGTGTGTTTGCCATGTGTTTGTGTTTGGCCATTCTGCTTCTCTGCTTCCACACATACACACGCCCCTGTGTTACTTTGGTTCATCTTGTGTGCCCTGTCAGTTTTCTGCTGGTCAGAACATCTGTGTCTGTGACAGAGCCGTCCAGAATTGCAGCGGGTAGGTGGGCATAATCACTTGACCCTTCTGGGGACTCTGGAACCTGGCTTCTGTTTGGGAACTCTGTCAGTCATCATGCAGCATGGAAGAGGGGGCTGGTGCCGGAGAGCTGATGATAGAGATGCAGGCCAGGCGCTGGTAGACAGCTGTGAGCTGGCTTCATTCAGACGGTTCTCGTGTCTCTCGCCACAGGAATCCCTCACATGGCTCCTGAAGAAGTGACCATCACAGTTCGCCTCATCCGTTCCTTTGAGCATCGCAATTTCAAACCTATAGTGTATCATGGAGTGAATTTGGACCAAACTGTAAAGGAATTTATCATATTTCTAAAGCAAGGTATGAGATGTGAAAGCCATTTTGTTTTACTAGTATTTTTTTAAAATAGCTGACTATGACATTAATAATAATCTTTAACAAATCCTAAAGTACTTTGAAAGATTAACCTGGGTTCTAAGCCAGGTGCTGGGTGAGCCCCTATTCTGGGCCCTGGTATCTGCAGAGGGCCTCCCTCAAGGATTCTCACTGAATAGTCTGTGTCCTCATGAGGGATTGTGACCGTCATTTTTGGCTTTTTTTTTTTTAATTAAAAAAAGGCAATATCTAGGTTTGTTGTTAATGGGCTTATGTATTTGGAGGTTGATTAGCAAGGGAGTGCAGTGTAGCTGATTGTGGTACCCAGCTGAGCACAGGGGGTGTGGGGTGGTCACATGGGGAAGCGTGGCAGGAGGGGAGCGGGGGCCGTACAGCAGGAAGTCATGAGAGCTGCTGATAATTGTGGTCACAGACACAGAAACGGTGGTGCTAGTTTATTGTTTCAAACTAAAAGTATGCATGAAGTTAGTCTTCATTCTGTTACATCCTCAATGGGTTTCTCTTCTCTGTTTTTAATTATTGAAGTGTTCTAATCATCGACCTTTGAGAAAACATCTAAAATAAGGTTTTATTATTTTAATTGAAGTGTTATTTACATATGGTGCAATCTGCAGATTTCTTGTGTAGTTCCATTGGTTTTGACGAATAATATTGCTGTATGTCCAATGTAATTTTTTTTTACTTTGACATGATTTCAGAGTCATAGACAAGTTGCAGGAACAGGACAAAGAATTCCTGGATGCTCTTCACACAGATTCCCTGTGTGAACATTTTGTTATGTTTGTTTTATTCCTGTGGAGGCCAGAGCAGCTCCATCTTGGATGCTGGTCTGCCATATTGACTTCTCATTAGCCCCAGTTTCGAGATGCCTCTAAGATTTCCAGGTTATCTGCTGTTCCTTGTGTAAGAACAGGTACTTACTATAAATCCTGACCTTAGGTCGAACAACCTTGATGTTACTGTGCTTTGCTTGCCCTGCACATCCCTTCAGATCACCCTTTCCTATGGTATAAGCCCTGGGTCTGGGGGATAATGGTGTGTGGATCCATTGTCTTGTCCTGCCGAAGCCTGAGTCACAGACATGGCTTCTGTTTGTAAGTTCCTATTCAATATGTCTTTCTAAGAAACTGAATGTGTCAGCCTCTGTCTTCAGCCTCTCAGCTTCCTCGGACTTTCTGGGGTAGGTTCACATAGACCTGCTCACCTTGAAACAATTCTCCTCACTCCCTCCCCTCTCTCCTCTTCCCCATTCTCTCTCATTCTCCTCACTCCCCTCTCTCCTCTTCCCCGTTCTCTCTCACTCTCCTCACTCCCTCCCGTCTCTCCTCTTCCCCGTTCTCTCTCATTCTCCTCACTCCCTCCCCTCTCTCCTCTTCCCCGTTCTCTCTCATTCTCCTCCCCCTCCCCTCCCCTCTCTCTCTCTCCATTCTCCTCATTCTCCTCCTCCCTCCCCCTCTCTCCTCCTTCTCCCGTTCTCTCTCATTCTCCTCACTCCCTCCCCTCTCTCCTCTTCCCCTTCTCTCTCATTCTCCTCACTCCCCTCTCTCCTCTTCCCCGTTCTCTCTCACTCTCCTCACTCCCTCCCCTCTCTCCTCTTCCCCGTTCTCTCTCATTCTCCTCACTCCCCTCTCTCCTCTTCCCCGTTCTCTCTCACTCTCCTCCTCCCTCCCCTCTCTCCTCTTCCCCGTTCTCTCTCATTCTCCTCACTCCCTCCCCTCTCTCCTCTTCCCCTTCTCTCTCATTCTCCTCACCTCCCCTCTCTCCTCTCCTCCGTTCTCTCTCACTCTCCTCACTCCCTCCCCTCTCTCCTCTTCCCCTTCTCTCTCATTCTCCTCCCTCCCCTCTCTCCTCTTCCCCGTTCTCTCTCACTCTCCTCACTCCCTCCCCTCTCTCCTCTTCCCCGTTCTCTCTCATTCTCCTCCCTCCCTCCTCTCCCTCCTCTCTCCTCTTCCCCGTTCTCTCTCATTCCTCCTCCCTCCCCTCTCTCCTCTTCCCCGTTCTCTCTCACTCTCCTCACTCCCTCCCCTCTCTCCTCTTCCCCGTTCTCTCTCATTCTCCTCACTCCCTCCCCTCTCTCCTCTTCCCCGTTCTCTCTCATTCTCCTCACTCCCCCTCTCTCCTCTTCCCCGTTCTCTCTCACTCTCCTCACTCCCTCCCCTCTCTCCTCTTCCCCATTCTCTCTCATTCTCCTCACTCCCCTCTCTCCTCTTCCCCGTTCTCTCTCACTCTCCTCACTCCCTCCCCTCTCTCCTCTTCCCCGTTCTCTCTCATTCTCCTCACTCCCTCCCCTCTCTCCTCTTCTCCGTTCTCTCTCATTCTCCTCACTCCCTCCCCTCTCTCCTCTTCCCCATTCTCTCTCATTCTCCTCACTCCCCTCTCTCCTCTTCCCCGTTCTCTCTCGCTCTCCTCACTCCCTCCCCTCTCTCCTCTTCCCCATTCTCTCTCATTCTCCTCACTCCCCTCTCTCCTCTTCCCCGTTCTCTCTCATTCTCCTCACTCCCTCCCCTCTCTCCTCTTCCCCGTTCTCTCTCATTCTTCTCACTCCCCTCTCTCCTCTTCCCCGTTCTCTCTCACTCTCCTCACTCCCTCCCCTCTCTCCTCTTCCCCGTTCTCTCTCATTCTCCTCACTCCCCTCTCTCCTCTTCCCCGTTCTCTCTCACTCTCCTTACTCCCTCCCCTCTCTCCTCTTCCCCATTCTCTCTCATTCTCCTCACTCCCTCCCCTCTCTCCTCTTCCCCGTTCTCTCTCATTCTCCTCACTCCCTCCCCTCTCTCCTCTTCCCCGTTCTCTCTCATTCTCCTCACTCCCCTCTCTCCTCTTCCCCGTTCTCTCTCATTCTCCTCACTCCCCTCTCTCCTCTTCCCCGTTCTCTCATTCTCCTCACTCCCCCAGATAAGGTAGCATCCTCAACAAAGAAGAGTAAAATTTTAGAGAAGTGACAAGACAAAGGAAATGAACTCTGAATCTCTCAGGGTGACAACTTGTGGGAAGGTGAATAACCAATAGATAGTTACTAAAGCTCGTTAATGTGGATTCTGTTGTGCCATCTCTAGACTGATAAGGGTCTAAAGTTGTCTTCAGTGGTTAACCTTTGTTTTCCCTGGTAGAGAGGTGGGCGGGATACTTTTTGTCTTTGTAAATCTATTGTATGTCCTGATTTTCGGCAAACAGAGGGAAGGCTGAGAGCTTTCCTGCATCTGCTGCTGCTTAATTGCCCTTAGCTAAAAAAAAAAATCCTTAGCTAAACAGGCGTATTTTGAGGGCCACTTCCTGGTCTCTGACAGTGTCAATTAGAAAGTGTTGTGCTTTTGAGAGGTCGTTACCCAAAGCATAGTCAGAGTTTGGAATAGAAACAAATCCCTACTTTTTTATTTATAATCTTCATGTGTTTTATGGGTTGCAGCGTTTCTTAATGTGGATATAGCAAGTGCTGTGATGTTCTTTGTACAGTGCAGACTAGGTTCTTGAAGTCCTTGAGAATAAGGTGTGTTTTCAAGCTGCTGCAGTGGCAGGGGAAGATGTCTGTTTCCCAGGGTCGTGGTGTTCTTTTCTTCCCAGGTACCACGATGCCTTCCCCGGCAGAGCAGTGGTACTGGTCACAGTGAGAGGCGCAGACCCGCCTCCTCACAACTTTCTTCTGCAGTGGGAATAGCAGCCACTGCTTGTTTCAGTTGTACACTTAAGGAAATGTGTTCCACTGACTAAAAGGTGAACTTTTGGGGTACAGGCTCTTTTGCGTTGTGGGCTCTCTGTCCAAGCCTTTGTCATTTGATTTGAGGTACTATGGAACTCTGAAAGGTTGATGGGCCACATATTTGCCTTTTATGAATTGTGTACATAACAAAGACCAAATAGTTTGATAGTGAGGGATTTTTGAAATGTGTAATAATAATAATGATAGCAAACATGACTATGTATCAGGTACTATACTAAGAATTTTACCTAGAGTATCGCATTTCATCCTCACAACATCCCTCTAAAGTTGGAACCATTTTACAAGTGAAGAAACTAAGGAACAGAGGGTTTAAGAAGCTTGCTTGGCCACCTGCAGTGGATCATGTCTGTAATCCCAGCAATTTGGGAGGCCAAGGCAGGAGGATCACTTGGGCCCAGGAGCTTGAGGCCAGCCGGGGCAATATAGCAAGACCCTGTCTCTCCAAAAATCAAAAACAAAACAAAAAACAAAACAAAAACTAGCTGGGCATGGGGGCATATATCTGTAGTGCCAGCACTCAGGAGGCTGAGGTGGGAAGATCGCTTGAGCCCAGGAAGTTGAGGCTGCAGTGAGCTTTGATTGCACTACTGCACTCTAGTCTGGGCCACAGAGCAAGACTATGCCTCAAAAAAATAAATAAACGAATAAAACTTTCCTGATGTTGCACGGGTAGTAAAAGGCAAAGCTGCAAATCAACCCAGGCATACTAACTATCAAACATGTACTCTTACTAAACACTGCACTAAATTGCTTCTTTATTCTTCTCTACTGCCTCACTTGCTTGAGTGGGATCTCTGAAATAAGTGGATGGACTCTGTGTCAAAAAGGTCTTTGAATTTAGTTCATCTTGCTCTAGTATTTTGAATGCTGAGTGCTAGCGAGATTGTTTGGCAGTGGCATAGGGAATTTTGTACAGTTACAGAAATGGTCATTGTGAAGAAAGATCTCTTGGAGTTATTTTACACACTTTATTGCCTTCCTTTCTTTTTAAATTAAATTTTATTTTTCGATCCTCCTCCCTCCCCAAGGCTTTCTAAATGTTCTTTTCTTTTGTAGTCACGTTTTGCCATCCACAGGTTAACCTAGTTACCTGCCATCATTCTTTGTATTTTCTCCTCAGCCAAAAAGTTTTGGTTAAATTTTATTCATTCTCCATTGAGAATCATGGCCCTAGAGCATCAGGTCATCAAAACCTTAAGTCGTGTAAATACAATAAATATAAATGTATATATTTACATATAAACATAAT